GGCAGGGGGACACTGGGTCCCCGTCACCGGCAGGGCAGGGGTGACACTGGTGTCCCTGTCGTGGCACGGGGTAGGGGTGACATTGGGGTCCCCATCATGGCACAGGGTAGGGGTGACAGCGGGGTCCCCATCGTGGCACAGGGCAGGGGTGACACTGGTGTCCCCGTCACGGCACGGGGCAGGGGTGACAGCGGGGTCCCCGTCACCGGCAGGGCGAGGGGCAGGCTCCTCCGCAGGGCCCCCTCCAGGCGCTGCAGCTGGGCCGGGCACGTCAGGATCAGCATGGTCCTGCCGAGAGACCCTACAATAACATGGGGACAGGCCCCCGTCCCTGTCCCCGTCCCCGTCCCCAGCCCCTCCGGCACTCACCCAGCAGCAGTCCTGGGGCCGTGGGTCCCGGGGTGGGCGTCTGGAGACTGTGGGGCAGGCGGTGACACCAGTGGGTCCTAGGGCCACCAGCAGCCGTCACGGGCTGGCGAGTGTCCCCTGCCCAGGGGGCAGTGGGCAGTGTCCGTCCCACCGGGCACCGCCCGCCCTGCGGCCTCCTGGGGATGGGTGCTGGGCCAGGACACCCTGCCCCACAGCCACCCGTGCCCCACAGCTCCAGGATCCTCGGTGTCACCGCCTGCCCCACGGATCCTCGGTGTCACCGCCAGCCCCACGGCCACGGGGACCATGCTGATCCTGACGTGCCCAGCCCAGCTGCGGTGCCTGGAGGAGGCTCTGCGGAGGAGCCTGCCTGCCACCCTGCCGGTGACGGGGACCCTGGGGACACCCTCCCGCTGCCCCCCACTCCCTCCCACCAGTGACGGGGACCTTGGAGACCCCTGTCCCCTCCCTCCCCTCCATGCTGGTGATGGGGCCTCCAGTGTCCCCAGTGCTACTGGTGACAGGGTCCCTGGGGACCTCCATGCCCTCCCCTCCATCCTACCAGTCATGGGGACCTTGGGGACCCCTGTGCCTCCTGCCCCGCAGCCCTGCTGGTGACGGGGACCCCCAATGTCACCCCTGCCCCATGCCATGACGGGGACACCAGTGTCACCCCTGCCCTGCCTGTGACGGGGACCCCATCCTGGGAGGTATCCTGGGAGGCTGGCAGCACCCAGGGCGCGGCCGGGCACTGTGGGGGGACAGGGGGACCCATCACAGCCCCGTTGCCCACCACAGCCCCCCCATGTCCCGCCCCCAGCACTGACCCTGTCCTGCAGGTCCTGGGGACCGTGATGACGGTGGCCCGGGGGAACCCGGCCGCCCACGAGGTGCTGGTGGACTCCTGGCCCCATTTTGGTGTCGTCTTGACCCGCCTGCGCCCAGAGGTGCTGCTCTAGGTGTCCCCCACCCTGGCAGCACCCCACACACCATGGGGCTTCTGGGGGGGGGCCACACTCAGACCCTGTCCCCCCCTCCAGGAGCACAGGGACCCCGGGGACTTCTACACCAACCAGTTGACGGTCTACTACCGGGATGAGGGTGCCTGGCGGGCGCTGCTGGGGGACACCGAGGCGGTGGGCTGGACCCGGGCCTTCCAGATGCACGGTAAGCCTGGCACGGGGGGCTTGGGGGGGTCCGGGTACCCCCCAACCCACCGCGCCCCTGCCCGGGCTGACGGCGCTGCCCCAGGGATGCAGGAGGGGACGTACGAGGCCGTGCGCCAGGCGGCCGATGCCAAGGGGCTGCGGCTGGTGACGTACCGGTACCAGGCGCTGCTGAGCCCCCGGCCCCCCCGGCCCCGCGTGCAGTGAGTGTGGGGCCACCTGGGGACATGGTGGCACTGGGAGTCCCAGTCACATCCCCGGGTGGCACAGGGGTCTCCAAGCACATTTGTGGGTGGTACAGGGGTCCCCGAACACATTCATGGGTGGCACTGGGAGTCCCAGTCACATCTCTGGGTGGCACAGGGGTCCCAGGCACATTCATGGGTGGCACAGGGGACCCTAAGCACATTCCCTGGGTGGCACAGGGGTCCCCAATCACATCCCTGGGTGGCACAGGGGTCCCAGTCACATCCCTGGGTGGCACAGGGGTCCCCAGTCACATCCCTAGGTGGCACAGGGCTCCTTGGGCTCATTCCTGGGTGGCACAGGGGTCCCAGTCACATCCCTGGGTGGCACAGGGATCCTTGGGCACATTCCTGGGTGGCACAGGGGACCCTAAGCACATCCCTGGGTGGCACAGGGGTCCCAGTCACATCCCTGGGTGTCAGAGGGGTCCCTGAGCACATCCCTGAGTGGCACAGGGGTCCCTAATTGCATCCCTGGGTGGCACAGGGGTCCCCGAGCACATCCCCGGGTGACATGAGGGTCCCCAAACCCATCCCTGCGTGCGGCAGCTCCCCCGTGCCATCCCCGCCGGGTGGGGGTCAGTGCAGGTTCCCCCGTGCCCTCCCCCCCCAACCTCTCCGCTCTGCCCCATTGCAGGGTGCCACCGGGCCTGCGCCTGGCACCCGTGTCCCCCTCCCACGTCCCGCTTCTCAACGCCACCTGGGATTTCGGGGGCAACGCCCGCAGCCGGCGCTTCCTGCTGGGGCTGGTGCGGACGCTGCCCAGCGCCTGCCTGCTGGGACCCCGCGGGCGCCCCGTCTCCTGGAGCCTGCTGGACCCCCTGGGGTGCCTAAGCCACGGCTACACCTTGCCCGCCTGGCGCGGGCAGGGGCTGAGCGGGGTGACGCTGGGTGCCCTGGGCCGGGACCTGCACTCTCGTGGCTTCCCCATCTATTGCGGGGTGCTGCCCCGCAACACCCCCTCGCAGCGGGCCGTCCGCGCCGTCGGCTTCTTGCCACAGCCCGGTACTTTCTACATGCTGGTTGTCACCCCTCGGTAGCGCCCGGGGATGGGGGTGCCGGCGGCACCGGGGCTGGGCTACGCCCCGGGATGGGGGTTGTGGGGGCATAAGATGGGGCTACCCAGGCCCGGAGGGTGCTGGCTCCCCACCCTGCCTCCCCCCAGACAGGAGGACCCCCCCCTCACTGAGCTCAGTCTGGCACAGCTACCCGTTCACTCTGGTCCCTACTGACGGCACGGCTGGCTCCTTGGGCCCCCCGCCATGTGGCGCAGGCGGGGCAGGGGCGCTGGAGAAAGGCTTTTATTCGTTCATACAAGAATAGATCTTCTGCAATAAATACCCCAATAAATAATATCTCCAATAAATAAACACTCATAGACGCACCGGGACAGCGGCCCTGGGGCCCTGCCTCCAGCCCCGCCCACTGCAGCCCAGAGCCCCGCCCTCATGGGGGGGGGGCTGTGGGTTGCTAGGCAACCGTGGGAGAGGCGGGGCTTGGGCAAGAGGGGAGGAGCCTGTTGTAGGAAGGGGGCGGGGTTTGCTACACAGGCTGGTGAGCGGGGCTTATTGCCATCCAGGGAGGGGTGGAGCCTAATGCTCCGGGGGCGGGGCTTGCTGCTGGGTGGGGCGGGGGCTATTCCTTGGCTGGTGAGCGGGGCTTATTGCCATCCAGGGAGGGGTGGAGCCTAATGCTCCGGGGGCGGGGCTTGCTGCTGGGTGGGGCGGGGCTTATTCCTACGCTCTGGGGGGATTGGTCCTTTCAGGGGTGGGCGGGGCTTGCACCCACTCTGGAGCCCCTGGGGGTGGGGCTTATTGCTGCCGTGGGGCAGGGGGAGGAGGCCGCTGCCCTCCCCAGCCCCACGGGTGCGGGGACAGTGCCGAGGGGACACAGCACGGTGGTGGGGACACCGTGGGGGCGCCGCCCCCTGCCTCAAGGCACAGGCAGTGGGGACAGGGGGGGCTTTGGTGGCACTCGGGGGCACCCACTCTGGAGCCCCTGGGGGTGGGGCTTATTGCTGCCGTGGGGCAGGGGGAGGAGGCCGCTGCCCTCCCCAGCCCCACGGGTGCGGGGACAGTGCCGAGGGGACACAGCACGGTGGTGGGGACACCGTGGGGGCGCCGCCCCCTGCCTCAAGGCACAGGCAGTGGGGACAGGGGGGGCTTTGGTGGCACTCGGGGTCAGGATCCCCAACCTTTAAGGCACAACATGGTGACACAGGGGATGTGGGGTGGCCGTGGTGGCACTTTGGGATCAGGAGCCCCGTCCCTTAAGGCACTGTGATGATGGTGGGGCTGTGGGGTGGCCATGGTGGCACTTTGGGGTCAGGATCCCCGTCCCTTAAGGCACAATGTGGTGACAGAGGGGATGTGGGGTGGCTTTGGTGGCATATGGGGTCAGGATCCCCATCCCTTAAGGCACTGTGATGATGGTGGGGCTGTGGGGTGGCTTTGGTGGCACTTGGGGTCAGGATCCCCAACCTTTAAGGCACAACATGGTGACAGAGGGGATGTGGGGTGGCCGTGGTGGCACTTTGGGGTCAGGAGCCCCGTCCCTTAAGGCACAGTGTGGTGACGGTGGGGCTGTGGGGTGGCTGTGGTGGCAGTTTGGGGTCAGGAGCCCCACTTCTCAAGGCACACCGGTGATGGAGACGGGACGTGGGTGGCTTTGGTGGCACTTTGGGGTCAGGAGCCCCATCCCGCAAGGCACGGTGAGGTGGCGGTGGGGACGTGTGGCGGCCCGTCAGGGTGAGGAGCCCCGTCCCCAGCGTGGCGAGGCGGGGAGGGGGGACGCCGGTGGAGGGGGCTCAGAAGCCTCTCGCCTCCAGGCGCAGCGTCACCACGGCGGGTGGCACCTTCTTCTTGAGGCGGTTGAAGTCCTTGGCCGAGCGCCACAGCCAGGTCTGCAGCTCCTTCAGCAACCAGAAATCATCCATCTTCTTGAGGAAGTCATTGGGGGCCACGGGGGTGCCGGGGGGCGCGGGGGGCCCGGCGGGGCCGGCGGGCAGCGGGTAACCCAGGGAGGACATGACGCCGGCGATGCTGAGCACCAACCCTTGCAGGCTGGAGCAGAAGTGGCCGAGGCGATGGCGCAGCTCGGCGGTGCCCGCCTGCCCGTCCAGCGCCCGCAGGTAGCAGAGCAGCCGGCTGTAGGCGCGGTAGTTGGCGGCCAAACGGGCGTTGTCGGTCAACCCTCGCCACAGGTCCAAGTCCACCGTGGCGCTGGGCACCCGTTCGGCGCGCGCCAGCCGCGGCGGGTTGAAGTCGGGCTCATTGAAGGGGGGGCCCAGGTAGTTCAGCTGCAAGGTAATGGGGGGGCAGCTGTCAGGCGTCGGGGGGGGGCACGGGGGAGGGGGGCGGGGCTGGCCGCCTTGTCCCCCCTGTCCCCCCTG